ATACAACCCACCGAGAAACACCCTACTTCCAAAGGACATAAGCATCCTACTACCCTCCAGCATCCCCACAATCCGCGCAGGTGACCTAAATGCAAAACATTCAAACTGGCCCAACAAAAGAACGAACGAAAACGGTATAATCCTCTACAACCTCATTAACAACCACATGACGGCCAAAATCTCCAGTCCAGAAGAACCAACCCACTGCAGCCCAACCTCCACCCCAGACATGCTCGACATCGCTATAACCAACGATCTTGCCCAGATAATTGACCTCCTAGTGATAAAGGAACTTGACTCAGACCATCTCCCAATTATTTTCCAAGTAGGCTACAATACAAGTCCCCAACAAAACACCACAATTTCCATAATATCCTGGCCAACCTTTGAACACATAATGAGCTACCTGTGAACTCCCTTCCCCAAAATCTCAACAAAGAGTGCCTAACCCAAACCAAACCGTCTCCCAGCTAACCCAATCAATACAAGATGCACAAAAACTAGTCACATCCAACAGAAAAAAGAAAACCCTAACTACTTCCGACTTCCCAAACACATCCAAGAACTAATCATCCTCAACCCCTCCGACAAGACCGTATACAACAGTCTCACAAAGCTGTCAAAAAACTGACAAACGAATATCGAAACACCACCTGGAACGATAAGATCCTCTCACTAAATGACGATAGATCAGCACTGTGGAAAATCTCCAAGATCTTGCGCAACAAACGCACCCCCATAAACCCGATACACGGTGAACACGGACTAGTCTACACGGACCCAGAAAAACTAGAGAACTTCGCCAACTCCTTAGAAAAACAATTCTCCTCCAACTTCACGAACTACAGCGAAGCCAAAATCTCCCAAATCTACAAACACATCCACTCAGCCTTAACCCAAAAGCCTGTAAACTTCATCCGCCCGACCTTCGCGCACGAAATCACCCAAATCATTGCCGAAACAAAGAATAAAAAAGCTCCAGGTCCTGACCAAATTCCAAACCTTGCCCTCAAAAAAGTAACAAAAAACCAAATAATGTACTTAACAGCAATAATAAACGCCGTCCTCAGACTAAAACACTTTCCCGTAGCATGAAAAACAGATGACGTCATACTCCTCCCTAAACCAGGACAAAACAAAACTTACCCACAAAACCACCGTCCCATAAGCCTCCTATGCAGTTTAGGCAAAATAGAAGAAAAAGTCATTTTTTCCAGGTTTAAAAGAGAAACCAAAACCCTCAATCTAATTTCCCCCGAGCAGTGTGGCTTCCGTGAAAAGCACTCCACCACCCAACAAATAATCAAAGTAGTCGAATTCATCTCACTCGGCTTCAACCAGAAAAAGTCCACCACAGCCGCATTTCTCGATATCTCTAAAGACTTTGATAATGTATGACACGAAGGACTAATGTACAAATTACTAACTGCAGGAATCCCCCTCGAACTTTGCTAATTACTTATCTCCTATATAACAGATAGACACTTCCAAATTAAAATAAACAATCATAAATCTCCACCCCGCTTCATCACAGCCGGAGTATCCCAAGGCTCCCTTCTATTCCCACTCCGCTTCAACCTGTACTCCTACGACTTTCCTCCAGCCATCGCCCCCAATACCTTAATAGCACTCTATGCGGACGACATCGCAGTCCTCACCCGCTCAAGCTCCCCCGACTTAGCCACCCAAAAAATCCAGTTGATCCTAGATAACATACCCAAATGGTATTATAACTGACAACTAGACATAAACCACAACAAAACCATGTAACTTTCCCTCACCAAAAGATCATATAAACCAACCAACCCCCTCCAAATAAACAACCAGCTAATCCCCTAGCAAGCCCACGCAAAATACCTGGGCGTCACCTTCGACCCTCACCTATCCTAGAACCCTCACATAAAAGAATATTCTGCGTCCATTTCTAAATAGGCTTCTTCGAAATTCAATGTCGAATCTTCGGTTATTTCTAAAACATTGTAGTCGAATATTCTGTCCATAAGAAGTCTTTGAATCGATTCTTTTAGAATTACTTCTTGCTGATTTAATTCGGTCGTTGGAAAATGCATTGTTTGAAATGTCGCGAGCAGTAAATTAATCACGTTCATTGGATTTACGAACATATTTGAAAAATTGGAACGCGCTGACACAATTGAAAACTCTTTGCACTGAAGAATGTCTAACGATTGTTAAGTCGTAATGCATGCACAGAATTTATTAAATCACACATCTGCTTGCGATACCATTCGTTTATTTATATACCGACTCATAACCTTACACATATATGTTGGCGTTGTTTACAAGTCCTCCGTATGTATTTTTCCAGAAACGACTGATCCATTTTTATCTTTGAACTTGCGAAGATATGTGATAAAGAACGGTGTAGTGGTTTATTTTTAATACATGACGAAAACGTATAATGTATTGCGAGGCAATTTATGTAGGATAAGGTTTGTATTTGCGGACTGAATGATAATTTATGCGTATAGCCGTAAGAAATTTGGATGAAAACAATGTTTGTAATAAAGATGTTTGAATAAAATGATTACACCGCGACCGGACAGAGATACATTATTGCACATACTGCCTGCCATTGAAATATGTTTACCACGTTACATAATGGTTTGTAGAAGAAAACTAAAAACATATGAACCCTTATTTTCCATATGAATCATCGTCGTGAAATTTCTATTCTAGTCGGATGAATTGTCTACGTAAAAAAAAATTTTTTTCTTTTTCAAGGGCAGTTAACTGCTTAGGGGGATGCTCCCGTGTCGGACGGTACCGTTTATGGATCCTACAGACACGAAATATATTCGTACCGAGTTAAATGTGAATTCGTTTGGTGTTGATATAAAAAACACTACCTGCCCTTGATTAATATTTATAGTGTCAAATAGTAGTTTTTCGGAAAAACCAAAATACGTAAACTCTTATTTAATGCAAGCATTAACGGCATGCACTTTTCATTTCTATCGGATCATGTTTCGCCGAAAAAAAAAAGAAAAAAATTATTGATAAGGGCAGTTTACCCCTGTCGAGGGGGTGCTACCGTGTAGGATGGTATCATTTCTGGATCCTCTTTACACGAGGTGTATTTATGTCAAGTTTCATTGAAATCCGTGGCGTGCTTCTATGGGGAAAAAATCGATTTTTTCATCAAATTTTGAGTTGTTTCACCCTTTAGATATCAATCTTAGCATGTAAAAAAAAAAAATACGGGTTCCTTAGATTTTCGAGTTCTACAACATATATAAAAATTACTGAATTCGGGGTGGAACACTTGGGATTGTTTCCTTGTAAGATAAATCACTCAGGCACCGTAGTACATCAGAAACTCATCAATACACAAAGCCTCCAAATTCAAACAATAGAAAACCACATAAAAAAAATAACAAAATACCTTCAAATCAATACTTAACCACCCCAACGAAACACTAATCCTGGCAACAAATTTCAGCCCCACTCACCCCTACAAATACAAAAAACCCAAAATGGCCCTAACATGATAATACTCACCCTCTCGCCAACCTTAGACACTTCGGGATAACCCCACCCCGCCAGAATCACGCATGATTCTGGCGGTTTAGTGCGCTAAACCCCCCACATCCACTACACCACACCCACACTCACTTATTTCAGGAGGAAAGGACATACCAGTTCGGTACTCCTCAACCATTAGATTAAATGTCAAAGATCGAAGATACCTCATTCGCATCCGAGATTTTCGACAAACAACTCTCCTGTACGACTCTGGAATTAACCCTTTCGCTACGGACACCGACTATAGTCGGCGGCCGCGCGACGTGCTGTGTGTACGGATGCCGGTTATAGTCGGTGTCCGCGAGACGGTGCAGCGCGGTGCCCCGTTCAGTGGCGCTACTCCCGCGGATGGACTGCCGTAGCGAAAGGGTTAAAAGGAACAATTCTTCTCTACTTTTCGCAAAATTTATTCGCAAATCCTGCACATCAGGCCGAGCGCCTCAGCGCTTCACGGGCACAACGGAGTACCGAGCAATCCCGACAACCGCAGGTCGTCACACATGCACCGACGGCATCCTTCATATTGGATACGTAATTTACTGGTTTTCTACGATTTTCTACAGTAAACTACGTGGTTTATGTAATATACGTCAAAAACCTCGAAAACAAGCTTAATAACCCAACTCTGCTGTACAGCTCCTTAAAAGGCCATAAAGGTGCAAAATGTAAGGTGAATAAAGAAAATAAACAAAATACAGATTTTTATGAGTACGTGACCTTGTTTATCCCTACCCTATAAATTTTCAATTTCCAAGCACCTGAGGAAGTCTCGAATAGTTCCTTAGAGATTCAGTTCTTCATAATAAGTGAATGCATTCTTCATAACAGAATGCCTTGTGATATAACTCCATGAGTGCATTATTCTCCATTCATTCTATTATAAAATTCTTGCATAATTAAATGTAGTAGACCAATACTTTGATTAATATTTTCAAATTTTATTTTATGGTTGCTGAAGGTGTTATTTTCGGTTAGCCTGTGCTGTTACCAATCTCTTAGAAGTATAGTGAATCTATTGGGAATTAAGTTATATAATTTATTCTGAGTGTTTATATAATATATTCTTTGAATTTACTCGAGCTATAAAAACGCCTCACCCTTTGCACTCGAGACGCGACTCTTAGTAGCCACTGGCAATTGGAATGACAAAAGCCTCGAGTGCAAAGAGTTAAAGATGATGATTTAATGATAAAATTTGTGTTCGTATTTAAATATCGATCTCGTATGATGATACATCCGGTTACATCCAAAAGACAAAAACTTGTGGTATTTTTACTGTAATAACTCATCGTTTCAAGGAATTTTTATAGCTGTTCTTAAGTGAAGTAATATCAGGTGATGAACTTTTTTTTACATCAAAGAGATTTTTGTTGAATATCCTTTTCTACTTATATTAAAAAAAATGTATATATACCAAAATAGGATGAAAGATAATTACAAAGGTATGATTAATAAAATTATGTAGTAATAATTTGTGTATTAATTTTTATAAAATCAAAGTAATCATTGTACAAGCTATAATAGCAGTGCTAAATTGTAAACATTATAATTATCAATAAAAAGTATACTTTTACATACTGGTTGAATTATTCCAAATGTTGATTTAATTTTTTCATTGACAAAATCCTTTACCTGAATCATTTATCAATAGATGAAATTAAATATTGATGACTCTGGACAATTTCTGGACCCTGTTCAATAAAAGATCACCTTGTTTTACCATGGCTTGGTACTGCCAATTTTTGCTGTCTGGTCGATTTGTTTCTACAACTCCACCGACTCGATCAACTTTACAGTGTAATCGACCAGCTGCGATGAAACGTGATAATTCCCTAAAATCCAAACATTTATTAATCACATATACAGTGACAAATTGTATATACCATAAACTTACTGATCAATATATTCAATGGTAACCCCAAATGCCTCAGCCATGTACTGAAGTGTGAGAGAACGATATGACTCAAGCAGTTGAGTATACGCTAAAATTCGCATTTCCCTAACATAATAACGATAATGAGGAAATATAAGGTAATCCCTTCGCAACAGTCCTTCTACATGTGCTGTAATAATTAAGTAACATCAGTATAAAAACAATTGATAGTAGTAGGTGCTTGAAACTTACCAAGATTTTTAAAGAAATCAGCATAATGACAATTATATAATGAAAACAAGTAGTCCTTAATATCAGGATTGGTGTGAAGAACTTCTAAGATTTCCGAACCCTTTATTATCTTGTCTCGTAGTTCATTTCGTGGTAAACTAATCATGCTAAGGTACACTGTGTACCTTACAAAGGTATTATAATCCATGAGTTCATAACTTGTGAACGTACTAATAGTATCCAAAAAGAAATTAGCTGCTTCTTTAAAATCACGTACTGCTATGCAATATGTTCCTTGATACACTTTAAGACGGTTTCTTCTATCCCAATCCCCACCTTCTTCAATCAAACTATAATATAATGATATAGCAAATGTACTATATAGCTTAAATATACTAAAACAAAGTTTATACATGAAATTTAAGCATAATAAGTATAATGTATTACCTTTTCGCCTTCTCAATATTTCTAGTGATATGGTCATGGTCCAAATAAAATAAGCCAATTCTAATATTATGAAAAACAATATCTAAGCGGTGGCCAAGAGATACTGTCTTATCATAAGTTTTACGAAAAGCCATTATAGCTCCTTCTTTATCTCCAATGCGACATAAGTGTTCTGATTTCTTTAAATTTGCCTCTCGAACTTCCATTTCTCCTAAATTCTTTTCAGCATCTTCAATTGTTTCATCTAATAACTTTAATTGTTCTTGATTATGAACCTTCATTTTAGATAATAAGGCTTCATCTATTGACCAATCCAAATCTCTACAAACTTCTTCATAAAAAGGTGCCATATCTGCAATAAAAGTTGATGAATTAATTTACAACGGTCTGTTCTCAATACTATAATAATAATTGGAATATGTATATTTTTACATAATCAAATATGAATCTATAAACATCAGAAATTACTTAATGTAGTACTATCAAACTTTCTTATGGCTGCATTTTACAACTATCATTAAGCATTTTTAATTATTCTACACATGCGATCAAGGCAAAACATTGAACCAAAATGGCAGTATCTTTAAACACTACTTGTACCCATCAATTATAGGCAAAAATTATTCACATTTTGAAATCTAAAAATAAACAAAAGACAATGGAAAAATAGCGACTCACTCTCAGCTTTGATGACATCCAGCAACTTAGTTTTCAAATTAGGGTCTTCTTTATGCTCCGGCAAACTAAGCAGGAATTTAATTTGTGCTAGTTCTAAATTTGGATTTTTTTCCAGACCCTCTTCTTCAAGGTTTTCAAGAGGCATTATTACAAAACGATTTTAATTAAAATCACCACACGATGAACAAACACTTTCGAACAGTATTTCACCACGTAACAAACGTTTTCAAGATTGAACAGGGATACTACACGAGCGATGAGTTGGAAGAATGCTCATGGGCAGAGTTGCGAGATCGAAGTTTGTGCTGCCCTCAGTGGAGAAACCTGGCGTCTCACACACTTGCCACCTGTCAGACCCCAGTAGAGATGAGTTGGGAAATTACTCACAGGCAGGGTCGCGCAATCACGGTCTGTGTTGCCCCAGGTAGTATGTGCGGGCGGCTAACGTATGTACACCCACCAGCTACTTGAGATTCTCTAGGCTTCAGCATACAAAACCAAAACACAAAGCATACCTGGATCTACTCCGACGGTCGGAGGATACGGACAACCCGGAAGCTGCCGTTTTTACCGGCCCACATCTCAATGCCAAAAAGTCTCACCCAGGCCACGGTAAGCCATGGAATCCACTGAAAACATACTCCAAAACACTCTTAACACACTACCACTCGACCAGCCATACGACAGCTCCTAAAACTCTTACAAATGTACGAAACCCCTTCCCAATCCTCCTCCCCAACCCCGCTGCAAGATAAATCCCAGTCAGAACCAGACAGCGACTACACGGACAACAACACTCCATTCACTGAATCAGAAAATCAGAAAAAGGAAAAGACCAAGCCCCATCCCAACCACAGCACCCTCCACAAGTACAAAAAATCGCTTCTGCCCCCTCGATAACCAGAATGATCCTGACCAACCGTCCACTGCCCCCGCCCCCCGTCTTTCAACCACTCCACCCCCCCCCCATTTTCTGAAAAAATCCCTCCTGTCATATCGAGACTAAACTCTCTGGACCAAACTCTCCGTTATCCTACACCACAAAAATATTGCAGACTCCAAAGCCAAAAACACCACAGACGGAATATCCATCCAAGCTTCCTCAATTACCGACTTTAGAAACATGAGCAAATTCATGAAAATCAACGATATCCCCTTCCACACCTGCCTCCTCCCCGAAGAAAGACCCCTTAAAATTATAATGAGAGACATCTCCACCGAAATCTCCACCGACAGCATCATAGAAGACCTCAAAAACTAAAATTTCTCAATCATCACAGCCCACAAACTCACCTCAGCTATAATTATGGAACCAATCCCTCTCGTCCTAGCCGTTTTTGAAAAAACCCCAGACGCCAAAAAAATCTTCGAAATCCCCACAATATTCTTCCTCAAGGTCAGAATCGAAACCCCCTCACAAAAAACCTGACATCGGCCAAGGCCACCGTTGCCAAAGATTCGACCACGTTCAAAAAAGCTGCCACGCCATCCCCAAATGCGTCAAATGCGGTGAACCTCATCTTACAAACGAATGTACCAAAACCAAAAAATCCCACGCCAAATGCGCAAACTGCGCAGACGACCACGCTGCCAGCTGCCGCGGCTGTCCAGCCTTCCGTAAACCCAAATCCATCAATCCACCACAGTACCCCCAAACCCGACCCACCCCACCACCCGCTATCCCCACCCACACCCTAACCCGACCCACCCACACAACCACCTCCCAACTTACGTATACAAACGTAACTAAACAACCCAAAACATCACCGACCACTCCCACTCGAAGCTCAACCTCCCTCTGGTCTCTACTTAACCGTATAAATTTCACCAACTTCATTACCGATTTAAAAAAATCTTTTGAAATTGTCTCACAGGTTACATCCATCCAGGAAGGCATAATAGCCCTCCTAACCTGTACCCGTCATTTCCAGAACATCTTCACATGTACACCGCAACGAACT